TCTCAAAGACCTTAACGCTCATCATGAGCGGCTTAAGTCGGGGGAAGTAATCTGTCACCGACGGTGGCGTCATAGACGCAAATGATGTAAACATTTCCTGCTGCAGGTGCTCTAGCAGCGCGGTTTCGTAACTCGAAAACGCCTCTAGACGCGCACCGATTGCCTCGGGGCCTTGTGACACAAAGTGTTGCACGCCCTCAGAGCCAAGCAAGAGCATCAGCTTATTAAGCCCGTCCTGCATGCCCTGGGGCAAAGAGGAAAATTTCTCCATCCTCACAGAGGATCCATAATGTCGAAGTCAAAGATGTTATGAAGCGGGTCTGGTTGATGCGGGAACGTCCACTTCAATATCTTATGCAGCACCATCAAAGCAAAAACTTTTTTTTCATGGCGTGATCGAAGGATTGACTACGAGTGCTAACAACTGCACCGGGGTTGCGGTGCACTTATTGCAGAGATATATTTGAAGCTAAATCCTCCCGCTTCCAAACGCACAGAGATTGCGTTTGTGCAGTTTTAACAAGAAGACTGCACAAACTCAATCGGAGCAGACTAATAGTGTACTAATTTCAGTTAAAATTGGGTACCCTATTAGCCCTGTAACGGGGTTACACGAAACCTAATAAAAAACATAGGTATGTGTGTCATACGAGACGTGCATAATGTGACCACACACCAAAACAAGAATACGATTCGGGGCTAGGTAGCCAGAAGATATGCATGTATTTGGATTTTACTAATTATATTTAGTATCTTTAGGAAAATCAAAACTTGTAACATTGAGATAAAAATATAAATAAAAATCAGATTCGATTATGAACAGAAGTGTTCGTTTGCCTTGGGGTAAGGCTTTTAAGTACTTTTAGAGGCAGCGGATTGTGATCCGCTGCACTGGTACCTGGTTCTTGTAAAGAACGATGGGTCGGTGAACTAAAGACGCTTCCTCAATCGCAAAGCTACGGCAGCCCCGCTACCCTTGGTAGCACTTGTAGTCAATCTACACCTGAGTCGTTTCGAACCCGGCGGTCAAAGTGTCGGATGTAATGATGGCTCGGCTGGTATAAAAACACTCTCGTGAAACACTCGAAGAGCTATATAACCAGAAGGCGGGGAGCTACTTTAAGTTCGCGTACGTTAAGAGACCAGCTTGTTGAGAGTTGGATTGGATGGCCATATATTCGGCCAAACCTTATATGGTTCAACAGCACATCTCGCTTGCGACCTTCAATCTATGAGGCTGCGCGGGTTAAAAAGTACTGATGTGCAGTACTTATGTGAAAATGTGTTTCTAGTACGTAAAATCGAGGCAATATAGCATGCGAGAGTTTGCAGCACCTAACCAGATGTACCGTTTGCGTTCGGCATTATTGTTCATTCAGACTAGGAGGCTATTGTCAGGAGCTATGAACGCTCATTGCCACATTGACATTAGAATTTCTTCTGAGGGCGGTCACAGCCACCACTTTCATGGGACGGTTTTGAAATGGTGTGCCGTGCACCAAGACCTTCGCGTCTTGTCCGGATTACTCAGAGATACGGTGGCTGTGGCACGAAAACGCTTCTTACCGTAAATATTGAAATGGAACAATGCAATTGAGGGTTTTATAAGCTCGCTCAAGTCGATTTATCATAGCCATGTTGGCCAGAAATAAAATCTTATCTCAGCTGTTGAGCAGCTTTGCGGAACTTACCAATGTTAATCCGTGTGGGTATTACTCAACTGAAAGGTTTGACGGTCAGTTTTAGACGCAAAAGCTTACGACGAGCCTTTCTCAGGAGAGTATCGAGTCCCAGTATGCTCAGAGCGCCATCACACATCGTACGTAATTTGAAGATGATCCTGAATCAATCAAAACTTTTTAAGCTACATAATTTGCTGGAAGTTTAAATATAACAACTCTGGACTTCAGAGTCGGTCGGGCTTCATTGACCACGACCCCCACGAATAACGATATGATCTTCGATGTGAAAAACAGACGTTTGTTGCTCTTAAACGCGTCGCTATCACTGGTAGCTTGACGCGATTGTATCACCCACGTTTGTGGTTTGATTACACTTACAGCGAGAAAGAATAGCTATAATATTATCTGGAGAGATAAACTGAGTATCCGTTAGAAATGGCGGAAGGTACATTGTTGTGTCCAAGTAGCCTGTTCGATCGCGAGTACCCTTTCGTGCTGTTTGGATGGTGAGGGCAATGACGTTAGGTGATAACGAGATGCCTCTACGCTTAATTGTGTAAATTCTCTGCGATAAGAGCTTATGAACTGTACGCTTAATAATTGGATAGAAATTTCGAGTCTGCTTTTAAATCCTCTGCGACAAGAGCTTATAAACTGTAATTTATGCATGCATCCGTGGATTGTACTTACAGTCACCAGCTACAAATTGTCGGAAATTTTTCCGCCATAATCGATCATGCAATCTCTTGCAGAGACCTCGCATCACCAAGTGTTTGGCGACCTCAGTATGACCAATAGACCAAGTATTGAGCAAGCAATCACAAAGTCTCACAAAGTCTTTATATCACAATACGATTTGCTGAGATAAAAGCCCGCTACTTTTCTTGACTTCTGGCGTCTTAAACTTCCTCACACTATACCTGTAACGGGGTTACACATACCCTGGTAACAGGGGTGTGTGTCACACCAGATGGGCACGGTGTGACCACACCCAAACAGGAATACGGTACGGGGCTGGATAGCCAGTTGTTATACATGTATTTAGATTTTACTATGCATATTAAGGAAAATCTATGTATTTATAATCAGACGGCTTTGCCGCAGAAAAAAAATATCAATTTGAATCTGAACGGAAAGTTTAATTGGCCTTGGGTTAGAGCTATAATTACTCTTGGAGTAAGCGGATTGCGATCCGCTAAACTCGTACTTGTTTGAGTATAGAACGAGAGGTCGGTGACCTAACTTACGCTTCCTCAAAGCGCTAAACTACGGCAGCCCCGCTGCCCTTGGTAGCACTTGTCGTCAATCTACACCTGAGCCGTTTAGACTGATCTTCAGTAAGGATGGAACAATTTTCCTCTTTGCCTCAGGGCATGCAGGACGGGCTTAAAAAGATAATGTCATTGCTGGGCCCTGAGGGCGTGCAACACCTTGTGTCACAAGGCTTCGAGGCAATCGGTGCGCGTTTAGAGGCGTTTTCGGATCACAAGAAACGCTCTGCTAGAGCACTTGCAGCAGAAGATGTCCGCTTCATTTGTGTCTATGACGCCACCGTCAGTAACGGGTGATTTTCCCAAGCCGCTCATGGTGAGCGTTAAGGTCTTCGAAGGGAAGGACGGATAGAATCTCCTGCTCTGGGTGAGAGAGGTCGAGATGGCCATCGCATCCGCCATGC